TGAACCCAGGAAGCTGACTAGCACGCTCCACCTCCTCAGCCACCCCAGAACCTGTATGGGGCATAATAAAGCAAAAGCTTCCCCCGCCAAACCTGCATCCAGCGGCAAGTGCCAGGGGAGGCAGAGCTGCCCCTGGCCTATTATATCGGCCACCCATGGATATTAATCCTAGTGCGTCAGGGCTTAAGCCTAACAATCAAAGAGGAAGATGAGGCCTATGCGGTTGGCAGATTATGCCACATCTGCCTACTGCAGGGCTCTTCTGAAGCATCTGGTGCTGTTCACTGCCAGAGACAGGATACCGGACTAGATGGACCTTGGGTCTGAGCTGGTCAGGCAATTCCTATGTTTCTAATTTTAAAATTGCACTATTCTCTGAATGTTTTTACCTGCTGTTGTTACCTAAGGTCAGTGTAAGTGAATGTGACTACAAGGGGGAAAGTTTTCCCCGTTTGCTTACATTGTGCATTTTACAGCAGTTTAGTCAGTTCTGTTATTTCCTATGGATAGTCAGCCAATTTTCCCATTTGTTTGTGTGGATTTTTCACACAGCAATAGAGAAGAGAAAAATAGTTAAAAAGCAAACAAACAAGTTCCCCCTCCTTCCTCTCCCCCCCACCCAAAAAAACCAAAACAAATGAACCCTGGTTATAAAACCACAGGAATTGGCAGGAGGCCTAGTGCTTGAAACTGCTTTCAAACTTCTATTTTGTGGCTTTAAGTGCTTTTTTGTCCACTACTATTTCTTTACAAAGACATAAGAGTCCAAGAAAGGGGGTGGTTGTTTTAGATTGCAGGGAGGTCGGCTTGTATGTGTAGACACAGGAGATAGTGTCCATTGTGCTTTGAAGAGCTTTAGCACTTTCTCATGTATTAAAGCTGAGCTGTTAATATTGAGCCATAATCTTTGTATCTTTGGGAGTGCAGTGGCCTAGTTAATAGGGTACAGAAGTAGGAGTTAGAAGGCCTGAATTCTAGTCTCAGCCATGCCACTTCTTATTCAGACTCTGTGGGCAAATCACTTGGTTTCTCCATGACACAATTTCCTCATCTGAAAAACAGAGAAAAATGATACTCATGCTTTGTAGAACATGAGAGTGAGAGTGTGGGTGAAAGTTCTGTATTATTAATAGTAATTAATGATGTGTGTACCACCTCTCCTGGCTGGATGGTGATCGTTCTTGTTTTTTAAATTACTTTCCTGTTCCCAGTCTCTGGATAATTGTTGGATATTGAAGCTGCACAGCTTGGTGATATGGAAAGATGTCCGGTCTGGGTCATTCCCTCCTCTAGCCTCTGATAAAGGTTGTTCACGGTTACTTCATTTTTCAAGATGCCTGAGAAGATGGCAGCATTTAGTCTTTTTTTAAAAATAAGAATTGTGTGGTAAGCTAATGAGACATGGGTGTAGGTGTGTGTGGAGGGGCATTGGAAAAGAATTGCTTGTGGGAAGTTACAATGCTAGGTATCTTATAAAAAGTGCTTTGCACACCCCTAGTGCCTCCTGACCAAGGATGTCAAAATTCCTGGCAAACATTAGCCCCACAACACCCTTATGAAGTAGACATATTACCTAGGGTGACCAGCTGTCCTGATTTTATAGGGACAGTCCTGATATTTGGGGAGTTTTCTTATATAGGTGCCTATTGCCCCCCCCCCCCGCCCCCACACACAGACTGTCCTGATTTTTCATACTTGCTATCTGGTTACCCTAATATTACCCCCCATGTTACAGATGGCATGGAGATGCTGAATATCCACGAGCAAGTCTGTGACAGAGATGGAAACCCAGACTCCCAGTGCTGTGCTTTTCTGGATGCTGTTTCCTTTCCTTCGGCTTGTGTAAACTGTTGTTATAATAAAGCACAATATTGAATGCTAGGGGTAAAATCCTGGTCCCATTGAAGCCAATGGCAAAACTTCCATTCTCTTCAGTGAAGCAGGATTTCACCCAAAGTGACTTAACCCACCTAAACCATGCAATGTGTAGAAATGCAATGTGTGAGGTGGCTAGCTGCTATTATGAAACAGAATTTATAAAGAACAGTCAGGAAAATGTATCCACTCATGTTTTACAGGGCTCTGACTGGGGTGCACCACCAACCATAGGTAGTCAGAAAGTTGAATTCATGTCCAGCTCTTGAGGGATAGCTCAGTGGTTTGAGCATTGGCCTGCTAAACCCTTAAGGGGGCCACTTAGGGATCTGGGCCAAAAATCAGTATTTGGTCCTGCTAGTGAAGGCAGGGGGCTGGACTTGATGACCTTTCAGGGTCCCTTTCAGTTCTATGAGATAGGTATATCTCCATATTTAAAAAGCCATTTTGTAGTAATCTTCATCACTGTTTGACTGCTCTTGGAGTAATAAACTTTCCAGCTCATCCAGGAGTTTTCAAGGAGTTACATTGTTTGAATATTGAGGCTGGCTCAGGTAAGATACCAAAATGAGTTGTGAGTTTCATTGTTTACATTGACTGGATTTGTTTGTGAAATACTTTGTCATGGCTTCAAACTTACTGAATTGGGCCCTGATCCTGCAGACTTATACACTTATTTAACTGTAAGGGCATGAGAAATCCCATTGCAGTAATCATGTCTTCCATTAAGTCATTGGGACTACTCTAAAGTGGCCATTCATACATCCCCAGAATATCGGACGGTCCTCACCTGAGTGATGTCACATGGGGGACACTGTTTTGAGGAGTATACCACCCTGCCCCTGCCAGCATGACTTCATACATTGCGCATGCAAGATCATGCCAGCGGGGGTGCCCCAGTGCACTCTTCAGAATGGCTCCCCCATCTGACACCAGACAAATCCATGCCTGGTTTTGTCTCTGTACTGGCCAGAGGGAAAAACCTCAGAAAAGCAGACTGTCTTAAAAATGGAAGAACGGCCTGCCTAGACTACTCATCATGGGTAAAGTTAAGTAGGTGTGTGAGTCTCTGCAGGTCTGGAGCCTTAGCCTGTCTTCTGAGAAGAAATTTCTGTGCTAAAGGTGGAAAGCCACAGTTATTTTAATTGTGATTAAACTCTTGAATGCAGAATTTCCCTGAGCAGTCAGAGCTGTTTAATCTCCACATCTGTTTTTTTTAAACAGGCTTAACTAATAGCCACTGGTCTCACCATATCTTGTGGTTTTTTAGTTATTTTTAGAGCACCCAAAAATTAAGCAGCCTCAGAGAAATGAATGAAGACACAGTCCCTGCTCAGAGGAAAGTACAGCCTAGATTAGACATGATGCAACAAGGGGGATATAAACAGACACCAGGCAAGGATGTGGGGAGGGGAGGGGCAGAAGAGAGGAAATCAAAGGGAAACAGTGAGATCAGGTGGTTACTCAGCTCAGTGAGGCATGTGCACATCTTGATGTTTCTGTTCCCTTTTTTCCCCTTCCTTCTTTTAGGTAAGATGGCAAAATGAGGTGGCGGGGGAGGGGGAATTTGAATGAGGCGAAGGAGGTGGTTTGAGGAGCAGTGTTTGGGAAGGTGCTCCAGGCCCAAAATGGAAGTGGTGAGTTGTTTGCAAATCACAAGTCATGTGCATTGCCCAAGTTTACATGGGAATATTGCACAGAGCTTGCCCACATTATGCAGTCTCATGGTCACTAAAATCACTGAATTCACCTGACAAATATTTGAAGAGATTGCTTTTGGCAAAATACTCAGATTCCCCCGTGTGAGTTTTTGTACCATTTTTGCTGAAGTAAAGCGTAAATTAATAGCTGTAGCAGCACCACCTTGTGGAGAGTTTAAATAACATTTAATGCAAGAGATTTTATTTAGAGCAGGTGTTTTAGGATGTTGTTTATTGCTAAAAATGTTTAATTTACATGGGTTTTTTTTGTGTGCAATAGATGCAAATTGTTCTCAGTAGTGCCAAGTTCTTTACACTTTTATACTGTACTGTATATCTGTCTGTGCACACAATCAAAGGACACCAGTCTGATCAGATCAATTTTTTATTTATTTCATGGAACAGTTAATTTCATATGACTTTTTACTTTTTAGATGTTCAGGTATGTCATGTTACATAACGTTTACATGCTTATACAGATAAACAGAATATTTGTATGTGTTGTACACAGAAAAAGAGACAAAGAATGACAAGAAAATGGAGAGGAAATGTATTGTAAAATGCAGTCACTAGAATACTCTGTTCCTTGTTTTTTCATTGAGTCTGGGTATCTGAGGCAGGAATCAGTCACCAGTTCTATAGCAGAGCCCTACCACTGACTTGTTGACATGATGTTGTTTTTCTTCTCATTCAAATTAAAATGCAGTTTTCAAAAGAGTTGGATGAAATTAACCCTTTAGTGCTGTGAGCTGCACATTCCTGAGGCAGACTGCTAAAGGATTGGTGCTCATAGTCAGGGCTTCAGACCCACTGCCTTTAAGGGATGAGTGTTTTTTCTCATCACTATATTTCACCAAAATTATAAAGAAATTGGTCTAGATAAAATGTTTTGTCAGAAAAGTCCGAAGGGGAATTTCAAGAATTTATAGAAAGAATTAACTTACAGTGGAAATTAATTCCCTGTTAGTTTCATTTGAATGGACTACCAGCTTCTGTTTCCTCCATACCTCTTATGGTAGCACTCAGTTGGTTAGTTGCCAGGGCTCTGTTGTTCCAGAAATCGATATTCCGTAGTAATAGTTTAACTTTTTTACTAGCAAAGTGTTAGAGACTTGACTCTGTTTACAGGTTAAGTTGGTGTGTGCAGTATATGGATAGGGTGACCACCTGTCCCGAATTGGGTGGGACAGTCCTGAAATGCAGAGTTCAAGTCCTGGTCCCGGGCTGAATGACTCTGGGACAGCATTTGTCCCAGAATTCCTCTGGCACTGCTCTGCACTTGCCCAAGGCTCAGAGGTGGCACCAGCCTCTTCCAGGGGGGCCCTGAGATGGGCCTTAACCCCCCCCCCTTGCCCCAAAGCCTCACCCCCTCGCTCCTCCTCTCCTCCCCCTCCCCCCCCCCCCCCCCGAGGCCCCTTCCCCTTGCCAGGCCAGAGGCTGGAGTCAGGCAGTAATAAGAGCTGCTCAGGTAGCCCGGGCCGCTGTGGGGAGCCTGGGACTCTCCACCTGTCCTGGGTGGCATGCCTTGGGGGGGGCAGGGACACTGGCTGGGGGCTGCTATTGGGCACCCAGCCCCCCACTCAGGGCAGGTGGAGGGTTTGGGGCTCCCCACAGCAGCCCAGGCTCCCTGGGCTGCAAATACCATAGCTTGGCTCCAGCTTCTGGCCTGGGCAGGGCCTCAGGGGGGAGGGGGAAGAGGAGGAGCAGGGGACGGGGCCTCAGGGGAAGAGGAGGAGGAGAAGCAGAGGGCGGGGCCACAGCGTGGGTGCAGGGCTCCTGCATATGTCCTGCTTTTGCCTTTTGAAAAGATGGTTGCCCTAATATATGGAATGCACAGAGGGAAGGGACAGCTGTCCACAAAAGACCTTGTAGCAATCACTAGGCTAAAGGTATCTCTGTGTGAAACGGAGTCCTGACACAAAGGTGCAACTCCAGTGAAGACAGTGCAGTTCTGTTCCCCACCACCCTGAAACTCCAGGAATGAATGTCATCCAATATTTGAAGAGGGCTACATTCTCACATTTAAAGTCTTCAGGTGGAACTTTCATAAGTGCTCAGAGTTGCCTCATATTTGCTCCCAGTGGGAGCAAAGTTAGGCCAATGCTGAGTGCATTTGGAAAAATCACATACTATTGTACCTTGCAACCAAAAATGACTCAGAAGTGAGCTGTATCTAGTTCTTGGCTTCGAATCCTATGCTCAGTCCACTAGGACACTTTCTTTATTTACAGTAAAAGATTTAAAAAAAATATACATTAATTAAGTGACAAGTCAGACATGCAAAGAATTTGAAACATGTTGAGCAGTTTGTGTTTCATACACATCAGATGAACATAATGGCCATTTATACTATCCTTACTTCATTGACTCTGATTTTATTTCCACTATGTACAGCACCTACAGATACTATTATTCAATTAACATCACTGCTTGCCCTGGGAGAAAATGGTGTTGGTGTGGCCCCTTCATCCCCCATAAAGTTGCCATGCTCCACTTTTCTCCTTACTCTTTTTTGAGCCTGCAGCTGTGAGAAGTGTGTGTGTGTATCATAAACTACACTCCCTCCCAGAATTCTTGTATAGATTGCAATAGTTTAATAATGAATTCTTCTGTCTCATAAATGATAATTTATAACCAAATGCAAAGTGATTCGTAGTAGACATAATGCCAGTCTAAGCTGGGTCCTGTTAAGATACCAAAGATTGTTTTAATGGTAACAAAGCATTCTTATCCGCAGTGGCCTTCAGTACTTTACAGAGCCAGTCACGGGGCAGTGGATGCCACGTTTGTGCAGTCTCTTTCTTCAGAAGAATGGGACAGTTCCATTCCAGTTGATGGCTGCCCCCGCCCACTTAGTTCTGATTGCCATCTCCACAGAAGGAAATCTCTTTTCTGGATCACTTTCTTCACAGTAATTCTTTTCCCAATGATGAGAATGAGTGTCTGAAAGAGCAATGCCCCAAATCAGTGAAAACCCACAGCAACATGAGTCTAATTGCTACAGCTCCATTGGCTGTTCTGTTCAAGCGCTGATCAGATTTTAAAATTCTACATTAGAAGCCTAATGGGATTGGGTGCTAATATTCTGCTCTTCTAAATGCAGTGATGGTCTAGAACTGCTAGGCAAATGCAGCTATTGCAGATGAAACTCTAGACTCATGGCAATGTGCAGTTTAAATTCAACATAGTTGGCACTGGTTGCTTTCCAACAGTTTATAATTTCAAAGGCGACTATTTTAAATGTTCAGTTTTGGGGGTCAGAATTTCAGAAAGTGAGGCTTGAAGTCTGTGGGCATTACAAACATGTGGGCATGCAACTGGAATGAACTGTTGGTGTAAAAATGAACAAGGACCTCACATCCTAAAAATCTGACCCTAGTTTACAATACAGTAATGATCTCTGGATGGCACACTTCCTGGCAGTTTAAGACCAGCTATGTTAAAGGCCCTTGGGCTCCCAATCCTTCCCCTTGATCATAAATAGGCTGGAGAAGCCGTTCCCATCGGTTGTTATTACTTGATTATGAACTCAGTGAAACAGTTCAGAATGAAGTCTTGCTTTCCCATGGGTTATTGTGCCAGCCATTAGCTGTTTGGAAGTCTGTTACTGAAATTAAACCAAAGTCTGCACCTGCAGCAGCATGCAAAGCTCAGGATATACAGTTTATTAAATCAGAGCAGCCATAACTTCCCCTATTGGCTTTTATATAGCAGTGATGGCATAGGTTGGTGGGAAGGCTGCAGGTGAGGTTACAATGTAGTGC